ACCGGGACTAGAACCCGGTGTGCCAGCGCCTCAAGGTGGAGGATTAGCCTATTGAGCCACAGCGCCAGCCTCTTTTTATTATTTTTTAAAGATTATTTATTTATTTATTTGAGAGGTAGAGTTACAGACAGGGAAACGGAGAGACAGAGAAAGGTCTTCCATTCGCTAGTTCACTCCCCAGATGGCCGCAATGGCCGGAGCTGAACTGATCTGAAGCCAAGAGCCAGGAGCTTCTTCCAGGTCTCCTACATGGGATTAGGGGCCCAAGCACCTGGGCCACCCTCCACTGCTTTCCCAGGCCATAGCAGAGAACTGGATAGGAAGAGGAGCAGCCAGGACCAGAACCGGTACCCATAAGGGAAGCCTAGCCCGCTACACCACAGCACTGGCCCCCACTCTGCCTTTCAAATAAAACAAATCCTTAAATAAATACTATCAAAAATCAGATTTTGAAAATAGCTTGGATAACTTCTAGCTGAACTTACAAGACAATATGAAAATGGCCCCTCGCTATGACCCTGGAGCCAAGCTACCTGGGGGTAGGTAATGCCCCACCCCCTCACCACGTGCGAGACCCTGGACGTGTCAGGCAGTGGCGCTGGGTCTCAGCTCATATATTCCTACAATGAGAAATACCATGTAGGAACACGGTGAGGTCTGGAAAGTGCTTAGAGCAGTGCCTGGGACCTAATAAACCCCGGGTGAGAGTTTTCTGTTATTGCCATCTGTCAAGCTTCTGCTTGAATGCCTCCTGGGACAGGAAACTCACTCCCCCCAGAGCAATCTATTCCCCTCTTCAGTACTTGGTGTGCTGGGAAGCTCTTCCCTGCACAAAGCTGAAGCCTGATGAGCCCTGGCTGTGCCCTCCGAGACCACCCAAAACAGAACGACACAGGCGTGGTGCTGTGCTCGCTCCTTTGCTGGTTAGTCCTCTGTGGGGGACAGGATGCACACATCTGTCTCACAGTCAAGGGTGGCACACTCTGACCTTGGAGGCCTGACCCCATTGGTCCCAGCTATGGAGCTCTGTGGACCTGAGCCCCAGGAGGTCCTCTTGCTGAGTCCTTAGCCTTGATCTTCCAGGCTTCCAGGCAAGGGCAGCTGCTGCGACCAGGGCCAGCCCCAGCATAACTGTGGCCCCTGCCTTCCCTGCAGGGAAACAAGCGTGAATCTGACTGCTCAGGACTGGGTGAGCCTGGGAAGGAGGAGATTCCCACCTGGCCAGGACAGTTCATCCTTTTGGAAACCACTGAATGTGACGAAGTGGTGTTGGAGCTTACTGCTACAGTCCCAGCTCTTTGTAGTCAATTCACTAGCACATCCCAGCAGGCAGGGTGCAGATTCCAGACTCAAAGCTAGAATTAGATGGTAGCTGCACCCCGCCCCACCTGCGAGGCCTCAGACAGTTTCCCCATGTGGAAAATGGGCATAATAAGCCAGTGCCATGGCTCACTAGTCTAATTCTCTGCCTGCAGTGCCGGCACCCCAGGTTCTAGTCCCGGTCGGTGCACTGGATTCTGTCCCGGTTGCTCCTCTTCCAGTCTAGCTCTCTGCTGTGGCCTGGGAAGCAGTGGAGGATGGCCCAGGTGCTTGAGCCCTGCACCCACATGGGAGACCAGGAGGAAGCAACTGGCTCCTGGCTTCGGATCAGTGCAGCACGCCGGCCATAGCGGCCATTTGGGGGGTGAACCAATGGAAGGAAAACCTTTCTCTCTCTCTCACTGTCTAACTCTGCCTGTCAAAAAAAAGAAAGAAAAAAGAAAATGGGCATAATAGCAATAGCTTCTGTCTTGTAGGGCTGGAGTGAAGGCAATGATTTGACTCTCACAGCTCAGGGCCTGGTATGGAGAAGGTACTTAGTGAACGGGCACAATTATGGGAATAACGTGAATGAGGTGGGCACACCTGTCCAACTCAGTCAAACCTGGAAGGACTGCTGCATCTGTTCCTCCATGGTGCAGATCGGAGAACTGGGGCCCACAGATGAGTGGTTGGGGAAGTCACCCTGCAATTGGAGCACCTCTAGGTGCCTGCATCCAGGTGAGCAGTCCGTAGTCTTGTGTTCCTTGTGGGTGTCCAGCCCTTACCTGCGTCTGCCCTTTCTGTTATGGGGAGTGGGGCGAAGAGAGGGAAGGGGCTGGGGCGCCCCCCAAGAGCCGTGCAGCCTTACTTGATGCACCTGCTGCATCTCCTGCTGTTTCGCGTTACTACCGCTAGGTGTCGCCACACAGCAAAAAAACCCCGCGGGCCACCTGCAGGATCCCGGCGGGCAGTCTTAGAGCTCAGACCCAGTTCAGCGGCCTCAGGAATTCCTGCCCAGGTCCTCTGTCTGCTCCCACAGCCCTAGAGTTTCCTTAAGGGAACGATTTCAGAATTTTCCATTACCTCTTCTGCACCCCGCACTCCTCTCCCCTATCTGCTGAAAGGAAACCTTGCTATAGACTCCTCTGGGGGTTGCTTCTCCTAGCTGAGCCCTCCTGTCCACGCAGATCCCCAGGCACCTCCCCACCAGTACCCCTGCCCATCACCCTCCTCTTCACCTAGGTGGGCCTGCTTCCTCGCAGATACTGTGCCTGGGGCATTGCAAACCCACCACAAGCCTGCAGGGTAGGCGGCCTGATTGCAGAAACAGTCACTGGGAGTTCCTGCAGAAGCAGCCTTGCAGCTGTGGCTCCCGGCTTGATTTGGCTTTCTTTACGTTACAAGGACCATTCCTGAGACCACCCCCTCACCTGGGCTCCCGAAGGCGAGGACCACGTGGAATTCCTATTTCTTTTTCTTTTTAAAAATGATTTATTTATTTATTTTATCTATCTATCTATCTATTTAAATTTATTTATTTATTTGAAAGGCAGAGTTGCAGAGAGGCAGAGAGAGAGTCTTCCATCCGCTGGTTCACTCCCCAAATGGCTTCTTCACCAGCAGGAGCTGAGCTGATCTGAAGCCAGGAGCTTCTTTCAGCTCTCTCACGCAGGTGCAGGGGCCCAAGGACTTGGGCCATCTTCCACCGCTTTCCCAGGCCATAGCAGAGGGCTGGATCAGAAGTGGAGCAGCTGGGACCCGAACCGGTGCCCATGTGGGATGCCAGCACTGCAGGCGGCAGCTTTACCCACTATGCAACAGCTCCATCCCTGGAATTCCTATTTCTAACCCTTGGGCCCAACGCTTTGTGTAGCAGGCAGACAGCGGGCAAGGTGCCTCTGACCAGGGCCCTTCCAGAACTCTTCCAGGCCACTCCCCATGAGCCAGGTGCTGGGACAGGTTCTTCCTGCGTACCATGGCCATTATTGCTCCTGTCCTCCAGAGGGGGAGACCCAAGCACGCGTCACGCACAGGCCTCCCAGTCCTTTAGTGGCTGAGCCAGGGCCCTTGCTGTCTGGCTTGAGTCTCGTCTTGCCTGGAACTCCTGCAGGCCCTCCCCCTCGCCTTGCCCTGGCACTGCTGCACCCTTCCTGGCTGTCTTGGGCAGCTCTCGCTAGAGGGCAGGGCCGCGTGCATCCTCTGCAGCTTCCCCTTCCGAACAGACTCCATCATCTGGAGGGCGGAGCGCGGGTGCCCCAAGTGCCTCTGCTTGCTGCCTGTCTCTCAGGGGGCCTTGGTCCCCTCCGGCCCAGGGCCTGTGTGTGGGGACCAGGTGTGCTCACAGCCCCCTCCCTGGCCGGCCTGGTGACTACAAGGGGAATATGAATGGAGATGGGCTTCCCCCTGGGTGGGGGCAACACCCCTTCTCTCCGCCTCCCCCTCCTTTCCCAGCTCACTCTCTCTGAGTCGCAGGGGTGCCCTGGAGCCAGCTTGGGAGAGCCAAGGTGAAGCCTCCAGGAAATTCGCAGCTGGCAGTTAAACGCCCCCACTGGGAACGATTAAATCCCACGCCTTCGCAATGCGATGAGTTACATTAAAAACAAAGCAAAGCCCTTAAAACTCAGCACCTCCTAATGACAGAAGAGCATTTTCTGTTATTTTGTGCTCTCAACGGTACTTCCGTCTACCAACCTGTGCTTTGTGCGGTGGAAATGCCCTCTGGAGGTGGGCACCTGCCCCCTCTGTGGTAGTTTGAAAGCAGCTGGGATGGGCGTGTTGACACCCCAGAAATCAGCAGCTATGGCCAACCTGGATGTCCCCTTTCCCGCCAGAGATCCAGTTGTCCTAGCTTTTACAAGCTTGAGGTTCGTGGGCTGTCCCAGAAGGAGCCTGGGAGGTGGACAGCTCCAGCTCACTCACACCCCAGTCCCGGCTCTGCCTCCACTGATGGGAAGAACCAGCATCTCCCACGTGCACCTCAAGGCTAAAGAGGAGCGGCTCCGAGACGCCGGGTGCTTCCTGTCTGGCGGGGCTGAATGCGGGCTCTCAGCAGCCGGTGGGGCAGGTGCAGCTGCCTGCCTGGGGAAGATGCAGAGGTGGGGGCCTTGAGAGGATTTAGTCAGCACCTCTCGGCCAGGACAGTGGGGTTTGAGCCACGCCGCTAACCGCTGCTCTGGCCCGTTGACTCTCTCCTAATAGTTGCCGGGTCACAGGGCAGGTAGGGGCAGTGCACAAGGCAATGTGGGTAAAAGGGCTCAGCCCAGACTTGGCTCCAGCAGCACAGAGTAAACATGAATTTACCACGGGGCATGAGTGCCCGATCTGTGTCCGCCCACGCCTGGGTCTCAACGGGGTTTTTTCTCTGGCTGGTCAGGTCGCTTCGCCTAAGCCCTGTGTTCCCTCTGAGAAAGCAGGGATAATAATAGCCACCTGGAAGAGCTGCGCGGAGGACGGAGATCAAGGGTGTAAAGTGTCGAGTGAGAAGTGGCCACTCCATAAGTCTGCGTGATTGCTCGGGATTCTCTTTGATTGCACGTCACTCACACGGGACCTCTCCCGGCCCCGTGCAGCAGGCCAGGACGGGAGCCTGAGCCGTGGAGGGCCCCCAGCCCTGCTGACCTGTGCTTTTCCTCCGGCTTCCCCTCCCCACCAGGTCAGCCCCTCAATGGGCTCTGGCCCTATAAAGGCTTCCGAGGCGTGGGGACGCTGTTGCTAGGTGCCAGTTGCTAGGTAACACAGTTTCTCCCTGGCTGAGCCACCTTCCGGAGGGCAGCTCCTGCCTCCTGTAGCCTCTCCCTGACCTTAGAGCCACCTCAGAGGGCAGGTGAGGGTGGGGCTGGTGCGACCAGGGGGCCCTGGGAGAGCCAGGCTGACTTCTAGCCAGAGGTGGGCCAGGCCAGGCCAAGGAGCCTGGGGCTGGGAGTGATTGGCTGGGCTGGGCTGGCCGGCAGGCCACCAGGCAGGAGTCGCCATCCGGGTAGGAGGTGTCGCCCCGGTGGGAGTTGTCGGGTCATCCGCTCTCCCCATCCAGAGGAGGGAGTGCACTGGTGCGGATATCTTCGGTCTGAGCTTGGACTCCACTGCCTATTATGAGCAAACCCTCGCATCAGTCCTGGCTGAACAATGGGGACAATGAAGGGTTAACAATAAGGTGCAGGGAAGGTGCAGGGGGGTACAGGTGACCAGGAGAGAAGAGCTGATGACAGATTCTTTCCTCCGCCTGGCAGAGTGGGTGTCAGGGAGCAGGCCAGAGGCCGGAGAGTAGGGCTGGCTGGACAAGAGGTCTTTCAGCCCCGCTGCGGTCCCCCAAGCGAGCGCAGGGACCTGACAAAGCCCCCTGTGCTTCCTTCAGGGCCCCCAGGGGCCCTGCCCCCCAGCGCCAGCCATGATGGGAAAGCTCCCCCTGGGGGTGGTCTCCCCCTACGTGAAGATGAGTTCGGGCGGCTGCACGGACCCGCTGAAATTCTACGCCACCAGCTACTGCACAGCCTACGGTGAGGGCACCTGTGTGGGGAGCCACCTGCAGGACGCTGGGCGGGAAGGGAGAAGCCCCCTGCTCTGAGACAGGAGCAGGCCGCCCCCTTCCCCAGCCCTGTCCCTGCGACCCCACCCCTACCCCATCGACTTCCCTTCCCCGCTGCCACGATCCTGGAGGGCCAGCCATGCACAGCTCAGCTCGGAGCCCTCCCCTGTCCCAGTGGCCCCTGGCCCTTGGGGGATGCCGGTCCTGCCCAGGAGGCCAGCCCACCGTGCCCCCAGCCCTGCTGACCTGTGCTTTTCCTCCGGCAGGTCGAGAGGAGTTCAAGCCCCGCACGGGCAGCCACATGGGCACGGGCTACAAGTCAAACTTCCGGCGCATGGCCTCCTACCAAGCCAATCTGGATGCCTTGAGCAGCCCGGCCACAGGGTACGGTCCTCACAGCCTCCTTCTCACCCCCTGCCCTGCAGGGCCTCAGTTCTCGGGGACATTGGAGCTCCTCAGACCATCTCCAGGCTCTGTGAAAAGGCACCAAGCCTTGCCCAGCCTAAGCCTGGGCTCCTGGGAGACTCAGCCCATGATCCCCAACAAGGCGCCGAAGGTTGGCGGGTTCCTGAAGCATCATGGGAGGGCCAAGGCGGGTGGGAAGCTTCTAGGTATAAGCAGTGCTGCCCTTGGAAAGACCAAGGCAGGTGGCCCTGCGGGTCTCAGCTCCTCTCCTGCCCTCAGCACCAGGGAACAAGCCCGGGACAATTTCCAGACAGTGACCGGTCAGAGTTACCGCCCCCTGGAGGTCCCCGACGGCAGCGGCCCACTGCCCTGGAGCGTGCACCAGACTAACTCTGGCTATGGGCAGGAGAGACCCAATACAGGCCCCCTGACCACCGAGGTGAGCACTGGGCCAGGGCCAGGAGAAACGGCAGGCCTGGGATGCTGTGAAGAAGGGCAGGAGGGGATAGGCGGGGGTCCCCCCGGCAGGCCAGAGCCACCCCACCAGCAGCTGGCCAAGGCCCCCCCCCACACCCCTTCTTCCAGGTCAGAAAGGTGCACTTCGACACACAGGATCACGGGGCCCAGGCCATTGTGGGGCTGGAGCCCAAGGAGAGGCCGCTGTTGTTCCAGCAACAGGACAAGGGCTCGCTGGCGTGGGAGAACGGGGGCTACGTGAGTGGGCACGCCTACGGGGGCCGCCGGCCGGGGGAGGGCCGCCCCCGCCTCCTTCTCCCTCCCTAGACGGCTGATGCACAGATTCACCCAGGACACCCACTGGGCGCAGGCTGCACAGGACCTGGAAAACAGCCTCAGAGTGGCCGCCCTGGCCGCTTCCCTACCCATCTGTCAGCTCCCTGCTTGCCCTCACCCCATCCTGACACCCCCAGGCACGGAGGGGGGTCCCCGGACTCCTCTCCTTTGCAGCCCCTCCCAGCTGGGCTCCCGAGGGGCTCACCAGGAGTCTGGTGTGGCGTGGGACTTGGGAGTCATTGCCACTCAAGAGCTGTGCTCCGTGGTGGAATCTTTGGCACCTGTCAGAGACGGTGCCTCTGGGGGGATGGGGAGGCGGTCTCTGGCCCTCCCCCCTTAGACTAGCACAGATAACCAAAGAGCCAAAGGGCCTGCCTTGGGCCCCCCCCATTATTCTACCCTCTGTGTCCCAGGGCCCCCGCTTCATGACTTCTGAGTACAACTCCAAGTATCTCAAGGAGCCTTCAAACCTGCCAGGTAGGCCTCTGTGTGAGCTTGCGCCTACCCTGTAACACACCTCCCGAGGGGGTCCTGGTGCTGTCACCCCCGGGTCGACCCCGGTGCCTTAGACCCACCAACCCGGAAAGGCCAGTGGCTCTTGGCCTGGACTCTGGAGTCCTCCCCAAATGTCCACAGGCCTCCAGGCTCACAGCCCAAGCCTCCAGGTCCCTGGCATCAGCTCCCTCGTCACCCACTGGCAAGCACACACTGGGGCCCCGTGGCCCAGCAGCACAGGGGGCCTGTCTCTTGCAGATCTCTTGCAGAAGAAATCAATTGGCGCCAAAGAGGAGACCGGCTTCACTGAGGAGTCCAACAAAAACCCTATTGTCTTCCAGCCGCCCTCCCAGGCCCTCCCTGGGGACTCTGTAAGGCCCCTGGGTCCCAGCTACCACCCCAGGGTGACTGAAGGCCTTGGGTTGAGGGGTTTCCAGTTTTCTTTGAAAGAACAAATGCAAGTTTGGTTCAAACACAAGATGCAAGAGCTCAGGTCCAGCTCTCCCATTTTATAGATGAGAAGACTGAGGTCAGGAGAGTTGAAGGGGTCTGCTGGCTCCCCATCAGGGTCTCTCTCTCCCCTCCCACCTCACCAGTCCTCCTTTGCCTCAGTTGACCCAATTAGACCCCCCTGTGCTGGGCCCTCCTCACTGCTGAGCATGGGGGATAGGGTGGGGTGGGGGTAGGCAGCCTGAGCCACAGTCCCTGAGGATGAGGGCAGGTGGGCGGCCTCTGCTGAGCTGATGCTGCCTTGGGGGCCCCCTGCCAGGTCCTCCTCCCGGGCCGGACCGTCACCAAGGCGGACTTCGTCCCTATGAGTCTCCCTCACGTAAGCTGAGCTGGGAGAGACCGGGGACGGCCAGCTGGAGCATGGCTAAGGGGAGGCCGTGGGAGGGGCGGCCATGCTCTGGGGCCAGCAACTGCCTTGCTCTCTCCAGGGTGATGAGAACCTCCCTGTGTTGGCCAGAGGCTCTGAACGGGAAACGGGCTACAGCCGAGCGACCGAAAGGCCTCTGAACCTCAGAGTGAGTGTCGGGGAGGCTGCTTGGAGGAGGTGGCGTTTGGGCCAGGCATTGAAGAATGGGAGGAGCTAGACTATTTAGAGACATAGAAGGAGGCTGGGGAGCAGGACGTGCTCTGACAATGAGCTAGACTGGGAGGGGAGAGGGAGGACAGGGTCCCCAGGAGGGGTGTTGGGAGCTGTGGGCACCTCTGCCTGCCCGCCCTCCACCCACGCTGCCTCAGCCTGGCCACTCCAGTTTCCCGTCTTGTGCTCTGTCCCCTGCAGGTGCCCTCTCTGGGCCCGGAACCGGGCAGCCTGAGCCACCGGCAGTTCCAGCCACCCCAGCGTCTGCAGCAGAGCAACGTCGCCATGCTTGGCCGAGAGACCATCGGGAACAAGGTGGGGCCTGCAGCACCCAGCTCCCACCCCGAGCCCCGCCCCTCCCGGCCTGACAGGTCCCCTCTTGTGCAGGAGCTCACTGGCTTCAGCCTTAACAACCCCAGCTACGTCCGGAGCGCCTATGACCCTGACAGGGACAGTCGGTACCTGACCACCTACAACCAAGGGTAAAGCCCTCTTCTCGGCCCAGAGCTCAAACCCATTTGAGTGACAGAGAGACTGAGACCAGGACCAGGCGTGAGCTCACGGCCGTGCAGCTGGATGAGTGTGGGCTCCCTCAGAAGTAGACGTGGAGCCAAGGATGCTGGTGCAAGCGCTGCTGGCGTGGATGGGGACGTGGGGAGGTGGGACCTGCGAGAGACGGCAACACTGGGGGCGTTGCCGAGCCAGCTGCCCACAGGGACGCTCAAAGCTGTTGAACACACTGTAGACTCAGAATTGTCATAGCCAAAGGGAGAGAGAGCTATTTATACCCCCGTGGCCATCCGTCAAAGGCTATCTCCAGGGGTTGGATCCCAGGTATTTTCTTGCCTCAAAAAAGCAAGTTCTAGAAAACCAAGGGTGGGGAGGGTGTTTCAGGGGTGGCGTAAAGGAAATGCCAGTCTTAGGGCAACCGTCTGAGCCGGGAGGTGCAGGATTCTCCCCAGAGCTGCTGCCACCTGCGACCACACTGCACACACCCCCTCCACCGTCTTCCAAGGGGTCCCCCACCCATCCCTGCCTACTTGGCACCCCATCTTTTGAACTGGAAGGCCTCCCCTGATCCACCCTCCCCTCCAGGTGCCTGTCCCAGCATCCCTCATAGATCTCATTCATTCCAGAGTTTAACTGGGCCTGGCTGAACGCCAGGGCGAGGCAGGCTCCCCAGCTGTGATAGGCCAGTGAGAGTGGGTGTGTTAGCACATGGGCAGGGCCGGGGGGGACGGGGAAAGCAGCCTGGGGCGGCGAGGGTAGGCTGCTTTGAGAGGTGGCGTTTGAGACAGAAAAGAGGTGAAGGCAATGGCCAGGAAGACCCTGGCAGAGAGGAGGATCTGGCCCAGGGAAGAACCAAGTTGGAGCAGGAGGGACCTAGGTCAGCCTCTGTTGAGGCTCCTGGGGGAGAAGTGGTGCCCAGGCCACACAGCAGGTGCGCAGCAGTCCCCATGGAGGCCAGGCCCTCATGCTGTGTGTTGAGGGACAGTTAGATCCCCACCCCTCCTCCTGTGGCCTCCCAGCCCCAGCCATCTCCGCTGGGTCCTACCCCTGCATGACCGCCTGTGTGTCCCAAGCCCTATCCAAGCCCGTCCTGCCATGTGTCAAGCTCGCTTACCAGTCCTTGCAGGTGGTCCCAGAACCCCTGGGGACTGGAATCACTGACTTATGCACTCATCAGCACCCCTCTTCTTGATAAGCTCAAGGCTGGGACCCACAGCGTGCTCATGCTTGCACCCCCAGAACCCAGCCAGGGGTGCAGTGAACACGTTGGTGAACTGGCGGGAAGCTAAAAGCCTCCAGAGAAATGGATAAGGCTGGGTGCCCAGCCCGGACCTGGCGGGCGGGGGCAGGTCTCGCTGGAACAGCCCTTTGCACTCCAAAGTGCTCTCTTGGCAAAGGGGTGCAAGGGCTGGTGGGGAGGGCACCAGGCGGGGGGGGGCACAGCATGGGCAGAGGCTGGAGGGACGGGAGGGGAGGCCGTGGAGGTGACAGAGACAGCTGATGGCCAAGAACCTTCCTCGATTGCAGGTACTTTGAAAACATCCCCAAGGGCATAGACCGGGAAGGCTGGACTCGAGGTGGCATCCAGCCTCAGACGCCTGGAGGCTACGCCATCAACCACCCGGTCACCCACATGGAGGCCACCCCCAACCCCATGGAGAGCCTGCAGCGCCTACATCCCCACGTGGGCAGGTAGCACCCACACCCTGGCTTGGTCTCTTCCCCCTGCTCAAGCCCCAGCCTCATCCAGGGTCTGCTCCAGACCTCTTCCCTCCTCTGTTCACGGATCTGTGTGTCTGTCCATTTGAGAGGCCACTTCCTCTGGCCAACTCCAGCCTCCACTGCCCCAGCCCCTCACCTCCTGTCCCCGGGGTGGCCCCTCCCTCTGCACAGCAGCTCCTCACCCCGCCCCCAGCTGCCCCTTCTGTGAGTGGCAGTGGTGGAGTGGAATGGGGGCCAGATCCAAAGACGAAGGGACTGTGGTGCTACCCCACTCCTTTCTGCCCAATCCAGTCTCCCCAAAATTACACTGACGCCAACAACTGCCCAGGGTCGGCAGGCACAGATTGCTTGTGGCTTGGTGGCTCTGGCCAAGCCCTGGCTGGGCTCTTGGGCTCCCAAGACGGGTGGGCAGAAGAGAAGGCCCAGGCCTGGACTGCCCACCACTCTCTCCCTACAGAACCCTGACTTCAACCGACCCCTTCTACCGAGACTCACCCTACGGCGGCTACACACCGTACAGTGGCCGCTACCTGCCCCCCAACCGAAACTGATGCCTCGGTAAGGGGGTGGGACCCCTGCCACAGGTGCTCCCCGTGTGGGGTGGACATTGGGGCCTTCCTGCCTCCCAAGCACTGGGCCAAGCAAGCCCCTGTGTGGGGACCCCAGCCTCAGAGTGGGCTGGGAGCCCCTGTCTCAGGCCTCCTCTCTCCCCCACTCCCACCCCCACCAAGGTTTGCCAACACAAGGGGAACGGAAGCTGGCTGCTGTCCCTCCTCCAGCCCCCTCCCCCACAGGGACCTTCAGCTACTTTCCTAATGAAATAAAGTGCATTGAAGCAGAGATGTGTGACAGTCACTGTTGCGGTGGCTGGGGAGGGGGTGCGGGGTAGGGGAACTCAGTGGACAGGCCCTGCACTCAATTTCCTGTCCTGTGAAGGGGCCCCCTGTAGCCTCTAGTGTCTGGGGAAGTGCTGAGTCAGGTGAGGAGGTAGGATCCCAGGGAAGGGGTAGGCAGACCACCGAGGAGGAGGGGGCAGCGGTAGGCGGGCAGGGTGGAGGAGGGAGAGAGAGAGTGGCAGCCAGTCCTACTGACCTTGTCACCTGGTCCTCAAAATGGGAGGGGACTTGGCGCAGGACTTCTGGGCTCTCCTGGGTCCCTCACTGGCTGATTTGAAGGAGAGGGAAGGGCAGCAGTGGGGCGGGTAGCGACAGAGCTGTCCCCTGGGAGACAGGGCCCACGACGGATGGACACCGACTTGGACACAGAGGGAAGAGGGGCCGGGGTCTCCCCCCTGCCAGCCAGGGTGTGCAGAGCAGGGCAGCCCCTCTGTGAGCCCCCTAGAGAGACGCTGCTCATGAACACAGAGCAACGTCTGGTGGGGAGCGAAGGGCCTCAGGCCTCCAGGTGGGCCCCAGTCCGCGAGGTGGCAGGGCGGCCGGTCCCCCTCACCTGCCCCCTGCTCCTCGTGGGTGTCTGTGGAGCAGTTCTGTCGCCCCTGGAGCCCGGCTGTACCCGGTGCCGTCAGGAGCGGCAGGCCCGGGGGCTGTGCCCAGCCTGGCTGGGGTTCCATGTGGGGTGTGGGTGGCTCCAGCTGGCTCCAGTGATGGAGGACACAGAGTCTCTAGGCTGGAAACCCGGCCAGACTCAGGACCCAGCGACAGCCCCTCAAGCTGGGGGTGGGGCCCGGCTGGTGCACGGCCTCCAACATTGCCTTGAGTCACCAACTCAGAGACTGGGCTGGGCCCCAGGAGAGTGGGGGGTCACCCTGGGGCTGCCACCCACAGACCCACACACCTCCATTCACACCGTGAACATGGACACACACCTCCATACACACTGTGAGCACTGAGACAAACCTCCATACATGCTGTGAACACAGACATATACCTCCATACACACTGAACATGGAGACACGCCTCCATACACACCATGAACATGGACACACACCTCCCATACACACCGTGAACACAGACACACGCCTCCATACACACCATGAACACAGACACACGCCTCCATACACACCATGAACACAGACACACGCCTCCATACACACCGTGAACATGGACACATACCTCCACATACACCATGAACACAGACACACCTCTTGTACACATGGTAACACACACACCCGCATATACACCATGAACACACACTTCCATACACACAGTAACACAGACACACACCTCCATACTCACTGTGAACATACACATCTCCCATATACACCGTGAGCAGACACACACCTCTCATAGATACTGTGAACCCAGACACACACTGTGGACATGGAGACACACCTCCATACATGTTGTGAACACAGACACACACCTCCATACTGTGAACATGGGCACACACCTCCATACACACTGTGAACATACACATCTTCCATATACACCATGAGCAGACACACACCTCTCATAGATACTGTGAACCCAGACACACACCTCCAAAACACACCGTGAACACAGACACACACACAATAGAAATACATACATACAGATCCCCAAACACGCACCTAACTGCCAACAGACAGGTACTCACAGACTCACTAACGCAACCACATGTAGAAACACAAAACGAACATCGATCTTCACACACACACCCTCAGAGTGCTGATACATGCACACACACACGGGCAGGCCTAAAACACACTGGCATGCCCAGGCATGGGCACATGGACACACAAAAGCAATGCGCAGACTCACAGAACACACACCCCATGTCCCTGCTTCACCCTGCACCCCCCTTCCTGTGAGTGTCCTTTTACAGCTCACGTTTCCTGCCGTCCACCTCCCCCAGGCAGCAGATACAGTGTCCGGGACAGGGTAGCCTGATCCGCCTCTCTCCGTTGCCTCCCCCTGTCCCAGCCACCCACACCCAGTTTCCAGACCAAGAGAGCTGGGGCCTTCCTACGACGATGGCTGAGCTGGAGCTGTGAACCCTCCGAGAGAAGGGGTCCAAGCAGCACCTGAGTGCTCCCTCCCCTCTGCCCCTGCCTGGTGTGGGCGTGGACTTCCCACCTCACAGAGCCGAGATGAGGGAGGTGGGGTGACTTGCCCCGGGTCCCCCAGCCAGTGAGGACCACGGGCCGGGGCTCGTTGGCAGGGGGCCAGCAGGAGGCCAGAGCAGCAGCAGCAGCAGCCTGCTGGGCTGAGTCAGAGTCCCATCTGCCTCCTTCAGGACCGGTGCCGCTGTGTTCCTGGGCCTCAGGGGAGGGGAGGGCCTTGAGGGAGTGGGTGGGCAAGCGGTCAGAGCAGGCCCTGAAGGGAGTGGAGAAGGCAACTGGGTCAGATGTCGGGGGGCCTTGAAGGCCACGGTAAGGAGCTCTTCTGTGCCCCCAAGGGCACAGGCCACATCTGCCCTGCTCGTGGTGGGGCCTCCAGAGCCCCGGAGGGTGCCTGTGGCACAGCAGGAGGTGCTGGGTGAACAGTGGATGGATGCACGAATGCATGAGCCCCATGGGGGCTTCCGCTGGCCCTGACGCCTGCAGTCTGCATGCATCTGTGCGTGCGGCTGGCAGGCGAGGCCCTGCTGTGTCCCCCTCTCCTGGCCCCGTGCCCAGCTGCCATGTCTGTGACCCCTCAGGACCACAGCCCGTGAGCTGGGTTCTGCATGTCACAGCCCCACTGAGCTCCCCTGTGGTGGCCTCAGGGCTGCCACGTTGCAACCTTGAGCTCTGTAGGCCTTCAGATTGGGACAGATCAGAGCTGGGAGTCCTGTCTGCGGCCCCGGGGCAGGACTGAGGTCTCTGCTCACCTTGCGGCTTCCGGGATACGGAGCCGCCATTGACAGGGCCATCTGGCTGCACGAAGTTTGCTGTCACTCACCCACTCTGTGCTGTCAGGGGGCTGTGGGAGAGGTCCCGCCTCCTAGCAGCCCTGCAGTGGGAGGCAGGAGAGCTGCAGCTCCCAGGGTTTGGAAGAGGCTGGGCGGGAGGCCCCATGGGGACAGCCCCGAGAGAGAGGATCTGGCACAGAGCTGACAGAGTGCCTTGCTTCTCAGTAGCCTCATCCCCGGCCTTTCCAGACTGAGCTGGCCATCCCCCACCCCACCCCAGCCAGCACCAGCCCAGCACCCATCTTGTCAGCAGAGCCTGTGTGCTCCGGAGTCCTGGGTTCGAATGCCAGCTCGCCCCACCCGCAGGCTTCTTCCTGCCACCAGCCATGCGGCCTCTGCTCAGCCGCTGAATGTTCTAAGCTGCAGCTAAGTGCGGTGCCTGCAGACATGAGATGGGGTCCGCGCGGGTGTGCAGGCCTGCGTGCATGCGTTTATGTGTGCATCCGGTGCTTCAGCAGCCGAATAGCAGCCGCTTTGGGAGACTGCCGGGGAGGAGGCTGAGGCGCAGGTGAGGGGAGAGAGTGGATCAAGACCTCTGTCTCCTGCTTGGCCCTGGAGGGGGCCCACAAGGCCCTTCTCTGAGAGCACCCCCTCTCTTGACCCACCTGCACAGCCTTCCCAGGAAGCCTCAGCCACCCCTGGAGAGGGCTGGGCCCCCTTTGGTTCCTAAGGCCCCCTTCTTGCAAGCCCCCCCTGGCAGCTGCCTGCTTCTCTCCTGCCGCGTGGTAACCAGGCTTTGGGCAAGCCGTGCATTCCCTTCTTCCAGCTGTGACTGTGCAGCTGCTCCCGAAAGCTCCCTGCCCCTCCCCACGCAGGGTTTAGAAACCTTGTGAGGTGTGCCATGATGATTACCCTTATTAAGCCCCCACAGCCTGCCTGCGCTGAGAATATCCCGTGGGCCTTCACCTCCTTCAGCAAGAACACAGGGGGCCTCCCTCTGGGGGCAGTTCAGGGATGCAGAGGAGTGCGCTGGGGTGGGGGTGCGGAGGGCTGGTGCTGGGCGTCATACCATCAGGCCCCCCCTTGTGACGCACGGGGACACGTGTGAGGCTGCTGCCCGTCACAGCACCGTGGCAGCTGATGTTGACAGGTGCCATCTGGCCCAGGTCACATGGTGACATGCAGAACCCAGCTCATGGGCTTGCCAGCTGTCCAGCTGGGGAAACAGGGCTCCCAGGGAGGGGGTTGTTTAAAGGCATCTGTCCGTGGGAACCGGAGCCCGGGGGTGGCGGGAAGCCCTGCGTGGGGGAAGCTGGGGAGGGTGGGAACGGTACACACAGACAGATGGAGCGTGCAGAGCTCTCCATCGCTCCCCCAACTTCCTCTCTGACCATCTGGAGGGCCACCCATTCCCGCAGAGTTGTGCCCTGAACAGCAAAACCTGCAAGGACTGAGGAGGGCTCAGGCCCAGGAAGCCCCCAGTGGGACCTCTGGGGAAGGGCCAGAGCAGGCCTGGCAGGGTCTACCAGTTGCCCAGGACCTCCTGCTGCCTCAAGACGCTGCTGCAAACAGGGCCCTGCCAAGAAAGTTCAAGTTCTGATCTGTATCCCCCGAAGGGCTGTGGCAATAGGCAGGTCAGCCGGAGTCAGAGAGACAAAGTGACCTGCCAAAAGCTAGCTGGCTTAGTGCATGCTGTCACTCTCTGGTCTGGACACAGGGCCTTGCCCCGCCTTGACTGAATAGCAGCTCTTGGGTGGGCGGGAGTGGGGGCTTGGCAGCTTCCTATGTACAAGAGCCAAGCATCATGTTTATAGCCAGTGATTAACACATCATCTTCTCTGGCCAAAGGAGGTGTGTGTGTGTGTGAGTGGATGTGTGTGTGTGTGCATGTGTGTGTGCAAGTGCGTGTGTGCCTTCACAGTCCCCAAGTAAAGAGCCAGGGAAGGGAGGCACCTGTCTCACCCATGAGTCCCGAGGGAATTGTGCTCAGGAAAGACTGAGATCCTGGGCCCGGGCAGCCCCACTGTGGGACCAAGGCTTGGCCCTGATGCATCGCAGCCTCTCCTAGT